GATTTTTTTCAACTACTTCTGTGCTTTGATGTAATTTAGGCTTTTTTAAATTTGAAAATGAATCATCAGATTGTTTATCTTATGTTCTACATGCAACACTGAATTTCCATAAAAAATGCTGAAGAGCACCATTTTGCGTTTTCTGCGTGGGCATGGATTTGTGTCCCATTACACATATTTGGCAGGAGGCATCCTGTCTGTGATCTGGTAGATTTGACTCATAAACTGTGATAACCTTCATGTGTCCGCACGTTTGCAATACCAGAAAGTTTGCTTTAAAATTATAATGCTCTCACTCATAGCAGGAATCTAGAAAACTCACATAAGGGACCAGGAAAATGAATAACTGTAAGAAAGTGAAAATCAAAATCAACAAAAAACTATGAACCAGAGACACTCTATGGGGGTTGAGGGGCAGGGAGGGGAGGGATTGGGGTCAAAATAAGGGGATTGCAATTGTATGGGGAATATAAAAATAAAATTTATTTAAAAAAAATAAAATTATAATGCTTACATGCCAATTAATAAAATGCTAAATGTCTCAGGGGGTAAATTAATGTTTCATGGACACTCTTGAGTGGACTTGTATTACTTGGGCTCTTGCAGAACTTGATGCTTAGGTGAAGATAAGAACAGTCAAATTGCACACTATTAATATCCAGGATTTTTTAACTACGTTCTTTCCTAGGGACATAATTATAGGAGAACATAAGGATGGGACTGCTATTTGCAAGCCCCAGAGAAGGGAGCGTGGAAGGATGTGTTGGGAGCTAAGCAAGCTTTGAGACCCTTTGCAGCACCACCCCAGTCACTGAATGTGACATACATACAGAATGCAAATGCAGTGTGGATGTTTGTGCACCAAGCACCATGCATTGCTGTAAGCAGAAAGCAGGAGGAAACCATGGTGATCCAGTCACCCGGCACTTCCTGGCTTTTTTTTGGCAAACACATTTGGAAGGTTGTAGGGTTGGCTTAAAGTAAAACTCTAGGAGTAATCAACAGGGGTCAATAAAGGTGGAAGAGGAATAAAAGCTCAGTTAGAAAGGGGAAGGAATGAGTCCATTATGTTAAATAAATTTTTGTGCTGTACCATACCATTTCAAGACTGGACACTAACAGTCATGCTGAAATGATTTTGAAAAGAATTTAAAGCTAAACTACATGAACAATTACAGAAAAAAAGCAGGACTTTAGGATCCCATTCTGATGACACACGGGCCATTGCACTGGATATAATGATGGGATTAACCTATTAAATCAATGGAATATCTTATACCCAGAGCTTTATCATCCTTGTAAGTGGATTACATCCAGGATCAAATCATTTAGATGATTTAGATGATGAGATTTGGGAAGTTTGAACTAATGGGATTTAGATGGGATTTTGGGTTTCCAGTTGATGCTTTAATAGGATGAGCTCTTTGTGGACCTTGGAAGGAAAAATATGTATTTTTCATGTGTGAAGTTTGTGAATCATTGGGGCCAGCAGGTGGGCACTTGTCTGAGAATCTTGACCTCCATGACCTTAGGTATTTTGTGTCATGCTTGATGGTTTGCTACTTCACTGGTAAAAGAACTCTGTAGATATAATTAAGATTCTTCATTTACTGACTTTAAGATAGGTAGATAATCTGAGAGGATTCTATAGAATACTATGGGCCCTTAAAAGCAGAATGGGAAGGTAAAACAGGAAGTCAGCAGATTTGAAGTTTAACGACTTTCATACCATTGCTGACTTTGACCGTGGAGGGGACTGCTAGCCAAGGGATGCAGGATGAGTCCTGTAGAAATTGAGAATGAATGCAAGTCAACAGCCAACAAAGAAAAAGATTGTCAACAACCTGTGTGAACTTAGTAGTGCATTCTTGCAAGGGTCTCTCAGTAAGAACCGGGCAGGCTGATATTTTGAGTTTGACCTCTAAGACCTTGGGTGGAGGACCAGGAGAGCACAGTCAAGATTTTTGACCTGGAGAACTATAAGAGAAAATGGTATTTTATGCTGCCAAGTTGGCAGGAATGGAAAGCTACAGTTAACATTGATGTCCAGTTAGGCTGTAAAATAGGCTAATGGTGCAGACCCAGGCAGTACAGGTTTAAATCTCACTATTTCACACCTCTTCTTGTGGAAGGGGAAGGTGGGCTCTCCAGGAACTGCAGCAGTAAGTCATGGATGCTTTCATTATTGGGGTCTTGGGATACTTTTGAGTGTTGCTAGCATTGCTTGAGAATGATCTTTCATGGATTACCTCATACTAATTAACAGACACAAGTTCCTTAAGGAACAAGAGCTCTTAAACTTTCTTAATGGCCCTTCGCCACATCTGTATGCCAACTTCTGTTGATATAGTTTGGGTCCACATTCCTTGGTCCTTCTCAAAGACATATCAGCTATTGCACATGCACACTTTCAACCACCCATCTCCTTCCTCTTAACTACTGTGTATTGCTATTTCCAGGCAATATCTCACTTTCTTATGTCCTGGCTTCTGCATGGACATTTTTCTTAGTTCCAGCCAGTCTTTGTTTCTGAGTATGACTTGTGCTTGAAATATTGTAGATATGAAAATGGGGAAAAAGTCCAGTTGCCAAGGAAGTCTCAGTCTGGGAGTCAGTGGTACAATGTATAGACTGGAGCAGTAAGAGTGACTGAGCTGACCTCACAGTTCACATCTTTTCACCCTCAAGGTCAAAGCATATGTGAGACTCTCCCGCCTCTTGATTGTGTATCTTTCTGACAGCTCTCTATCTCTAATGTCTCTCTAGGTCTCTGTGTTTTAGGTTTACTTGTTTAATTGATTTTTGCTCACTTCAGTTATATATGAGGCGACTATTGTGTCAATTGTGTGAGCGAAATCACTAGAAACTCAGTTTAATTCTTATTTTTTTCCATGTCTTTTTGGATGTTCAAGAACATTTTTAATCTCTTGAGATAAAATGCATTTCCTTAAAGGATAAGAAAAATCTTTTCATTTCTTTAAGCCTCCCAGGAAAATCTCATAAAGATGTGAATATTTTCCAAATCATAAATTATATAAAAAAGTAATGTTAATAGTTGGTATACGATTCACTGGGTAGCTGTGGACATTGACACCTTGAAAAAGGCCAGTTCCGGAATTGTGGGTGCCTTTTTCATTTTCTTATTGTAACTTGCTCAGTAGTTGGATTTAATTTTTTTTTTTAAGTTAGGGCCTTCGCACCCATGATAAATTTCATAACCACAGATTTTCATTTTGCCTCTGGTTCCATAAAGCAAAAAAAAAAGAGTTAATGCAACTGAAAATGGGACCCAGCTAAATCTGGGTCAAAAACAGCATGTCCTTCAGCAGCCAAACTTATTCTGAAGAGGTCTTAGACTGTAAGAATGATCAACTCTGGAAGATCAGGGGAGTAGATCAGTTAGTGGCCTTTTTGTCTTCTTTTTGTTTACTAGTGTATAAATTAATCTTTTTTTAAAAGATTTATTTATTTATTTATACAAGCACTGGGTACAGTCAGAAGTGCGGGAGGGTGACAGAATTCACCAGAGACAGAGCGGGGAACAGAACAGGCACACTGGCGAAATACACTGCTGAGGGGAGCAGCAGGCAAGATAGAAGAGGTCTACCACACCTTGTGGGACCTTCTCCGGCGGCTGGGGATCGAACCGTCGCTGCAGAGGCTGCGGGCAGCTTTGCAGTCCAGCGCTCAATGGCTGCACCACCAGGGGAGGCCCAATCTTAATCTTTTATTTTTTTCCTTGGGTTAAAGTTAATTAAGTAGAACACAGTGAATGGATAAGGAGAGGTTTGACATAGAGAAACTATGACTCGACTCTCAAGAGCCAATTTAGAAATTACACTTTTTTTAAGATTGTAAATCTTTACTCAGTTTCCATGTCTTTATGGAGCTGACTTTATGTTCAGGATTATTTCCTGAGATCTTAGAACTTTACTCTGCCAACCTTAGTGAGCGAATGCAGTGCTACTTTTCTTTATCTAGGCAACAAGTGTTGGGATTTGCCAGTCAAAAATAGGGTCAGGACATGGAGCGTTCCAACCTGCCAGACCTCTATGGGGAATTGACTTGGGAAAAGACTGGCCTGAAGAATGGATCGATGAACATCTGGCATAAAATAGCAGAAGGCAAGATGCTGACAGTGGATTCCTTTAAACTGTTTTGGCATTTTATTACAAAGAATTAAAGCAATAGTTGATTGTGGGATTTTTATAGTCCCTTGAATTTATCTGAGTATCCTCTGATGCAGATTCTGGTTTAATCTATATAAAATACAAAACATACATTCCCTATGTAGCATGCAGTAACAGACTTAAAATTAAACCATTTTCAGCTGTAGCCCTTTGCTTTTCTGTGTCCTGAGTCCATGTAGCAGGTCATGTGTGTGTGTGTGTGTGTGTGTGTGTGAGTGTGTGTCTGTGTAAACCAATCTGCCACAAACAAGAGAGCAGATGGCAGTTTGTTTTTACAAAATATGAAAGCAAATTCTCTTAATTTTTATCCAAATTCCCCATAGTTAATATCATTTGGAAATTGTCCTCATGGTTTATGCCCTTTGGAGGTCAAAGCAAATAGTTCTCTTCCCCCACACTCACACCTCCTGGTCTTTTCCTCTCTCTACCTTGCCTTGTATCTTTACCAACTCTCTATTTTGAATAGAGTGTGGAGTGTCTAAACCACTTGTGCCTGGGAGTCACCTGAAGATGTTGGTGAACCACAATTCCTAGACCTCACCTACCACAGCCCACTTCTGTGGAGTTGAGCCTGGTCGTTTGCCTTGTTGATTAGCTCCTAGGTGGCGCTGGCGCTGCACGTCCTGCACTATACTTGTGTAGCTCTGGGCAGCTGTGCCATGTGGCCCGTGACTAAGGGACAGAGGATAGAAAGCCTTTGTTCTGCTGAATCTGTAGGATAAGGCGGGCGAGGAACGAAGTTGGGTGCTAATCTAAATCACTACCTTTGATGACGTTTCTAAAAACAAAACTATCTTTTCCCCTTCACAGAAGCAAATCCGGAGAAATTCAATAGTCTTTTTCGAAATAAAATGTTCTATGCAGGGGTAAGTATATATTTCATTTTTAAATTGTTCTCAATTACTCGCTACTAGTTTTCTATTGTTAGTAAAGATGCTCAGTATATTAAAGATAATTGCATGCACACCACAGATGTTTACACGTATGTATAAACACATTTGGTTGATGTTTACATCTTGGTTTAAGAATAAAAGGAAGGATTCATTCCTAAGACAGTTGACAAAAAGCCGGTGTTCATATTTAAATGTTTAGAATGATTTTGTTTTTTATTTTATTGAGGTAATGATGTTTTACATAGTTGCTTCTATTTGGAAGTATAGGTTTCCCTTCTTTTGGTGCTATTACTGTAGCGTTCCCACCACCAAAGCATCTATCATCCTCCACCATAATCCATTGTGTTCCCTCCCCACATTGTGCTCGTCCTTCCCTCACTGGATGCCTCAGTTCCATAGTCCGCTTTCAAGGGCTGGTTTTTGAGTTTGTCTTTAACTGACCCTTTGCCTGGTCTCTTTAAAATCAAGAAGTGACACCAGCTGGTATTTGTCTTTCTCCCTTTGACTCACTTCCCTTAACATAATCCCTTTCAGTTCCTTCAATGTTTATGCAAATGGCATGAGTTTATCTTCTTTGACCACTGAGTAATATTCCATTGTGTCTGTACACCGCATCTTCTTGATCTACTCATGTGTTGTTAGGTACTTAGATTGTTTCCATAGTTTTATTGTAAATGGTGTTGCAGTGAACATGGGAGTGCAAATTTCCCTTCTAATTAGTGTACTTGGGTTCTTCGGGTAGATGCCTGGGGGTGGAATTGCTGGGTCATATGGTAGATCAATTCTTAATCTTTTGAGAAATCTCCATCTTGCTTTCTGTTGGGGCCAGACCAGTGTACATTCCCTCCAATAGTGAAACAGTTTTCCTTTACATCCTTGCCAGCATTCGTTGTTTTGGTCTTTGTGATATGGGTCATTTTCCCAGGAGTGAGGTGGTGTCTCACTGTGGTTTTGATTTGCATTTCCCTGATGATAGTGATTATCTTTGAATTTTAAAGTGCTGAGGCTCCATGTTGTACCGAGGGGATGATACTCATAGAGGGATGTGAAAAGCAAGCATGAAAGCCAGTTGACAGAAGGGACATTAGGGAGACAGCAAGCTATGTGCGAAATCTTGGGGAAGAACACAGTTTCCACAGGGACACATTTGCAGCAATGTTTGGGTAAGAAATTGAAAAGAACATGGGAAGTTTTCACAGAAGCATATATGAGATTAGAGCCACCCTTACCTCCCCCACCCTTTATTCCTTCTCTTCAGGAACATCCCAGGGTGAATAATCATAAAGGGGAAAAAAATCTTCAAAATAATGATTTAAAAATGTGTATTTCAATTTATGCCCCTAGAGAGCAAAATAAAAGGGGGGTAAAGCCAACCGTTCTCAATGTCAAGTTAAAGGTGATTGCAGAACCTGTGAATAAGTAGGAAGGTCAGGAAAGGCATTTAAAATAAGTGTCCAAACTGACCCTGGAATTACCTACTTTTTCACTCTCCTACTATGGTATCTTAAATTGTATAATAGTTTTTATTTTGAAAAGGAAGAGAACGTAACACCCATTGCACTGCTTTATTTTGGAGAACTTGCTTGATCTGTTCATGTAACTTAGAGTCATTGGGACCTATAGAATGTAGAAACAACAGTTTGGCATAACTTGGTAATTAAGTTTCTTTTTATTTCCTTGTGGTATAGGCAGCTTTTTCTGATTTCCTGCAGAGAAGCTCTAGAGATCTATCCAAACATGTTAAAGTTGTCGTAAGTATTGAAAGTGTTGACCTACTGCATTTGAATAGGGGTATACATGCTGCCAAAAAATAAAGTCCAAATATCACTTAATTCATCAGTTAATGAGTGCACTGCGTAGACCATTAGGGATCTCAGTGTAGCTCCTCAGCTGACATTTCTGGGCATTTAGCTGTGTGCTGAGCACTGTTGTCAGGGATGAAGATTAATATGACAACTAGTTTCACCCTGACACAGTTCAGGCATGGAAAAGGGTACTTTAACTCATTGCAGAAAACCATAATGAGTGTTGTTACTTAACCATGTAGATAATGTGACGGAGGCACGAGGAGAGAAATGCAAACTGGCCACGGTGGAGAGAGAGAAACCTGCTTCAAAGGGATGTGTCGGAATTGAAATTGCTGCCCACAAACAAATATTTTTATTCTAGGACTGTCCAGAGTCTCATTTTTAGAAAAATGCCTTGATTTCATTATTTTGTGGTGATTCATTCTTCAATCAGGTCAAAGTTCTTCATCATTGAGTAGACTCAGTGTTTGTGCGTGTGTGTGCGTGTGCGCATGCCCATGTTATTTCTTCCTAGGCCTCTGTCCAGGGTTGGACACACACTGCCTGGAGACAAAAGAGAGAGAAAGTTGTCTTTTCTATAGGAGATATCTTTGAAAATAGCAGGCATTAGTTATTAATAAAGACATGAAATGTTTCCAGATGGAAACTAAGTTAAAAGAATGAAAGAAACTTTGCTTTACATAATTGTATGAGGAAAAAGAAAGAAAGAGAAAAAGACATGAATGGGAAAGAATGAATAGGAATACAGCAGTGTTTGAATTTATCACAGCAGAGATAAAAGAAAGAATATGTGACAAGTGGGCACAGAACAAAAGAGACACATCAGAACAGAGAAATCGTATTCGGGTAGAGTGAAATAGGGGAGCATGAGGATACAAATTAAAATTCTCATCACCAATAAAGCATATATGAGACTTGAATCTCCTGAAGCAGTTGAAGTAAAAGACAAAGGCTTTTATCACTAGAGCAGTCCTTGGCATCACTTTCGGATGGTTCAGTTCTTATACAACAGCAATGAAAGCAGACATCTTTTGGCAGTGGAGTTCTTGAAAACAGAAATACTGCCTTCAAAAAACTATAGATACAAGAAAGTACATGGTACAGTCAGCTATGAAGATCTTCATTTTGATGAAATTGTCGTTATTAAATCTAAATAGCAGTAAACTTATACCAAACTTTCCATTCTTCTGCTGCCAGCAAACCCAGTCAAAGATAAACTTTCCTTCTTCTTTTGATATTTCTCACATTTAGTGGAACATTATCAATACCTACCCAGAGAGCCAATATGCAGTAGGCAGTGGCCATATTGGATGATGTCTACTGTCAAGTCAATTGGGCTGCAATTAAAGTCTTTACTCCCCAACCTCTAGAGTGTATCTCCTAGATTTGGCAGCCCTCAATAATTGTCTCATGCATGGGTAGTTACAGGGGTTCAAAGGAGCTTTTAGTGTTGTCAAAATGGCAGCCAAATACTAAGGAATATTTGTTATCGTCAATCTATGTAACATTCTAGTTAGATTGACTTGTCTGATATTTTTTTAATGAGGAGAAAAACCACTAGGAACTCAACATTTGGTATTCCATCCCAGGTCTGTCTTTCTGGAATATATGACTTTGGGGAAGTAGATTTTTCTTTCCTCATCTGTAAAACAGGGCACAACAGGATATTTCTTTGGCCATTGTGCTGTGGCACAGAGGACACAGTATAGTTTGTAGTGACGTCACTGTGTTTTTGAGTGTGAGCTGGAGAGAATGAACAGTCAGGTAGAGTAAGTAGATGCATATGTAAAACTCTCTTCACCACAGGGTGAAGTCAGTTTCTCTGAGGTAATAATTAATAATTCTTCACAAATTAAAACATTTGTATAAATACTACACCAAGAAAATCCTAAAACAGAACAATAACAAACCTACACATATCATTTACTCACCCATCTTCATGCTTCTCCTTGTTTTGACTTGTCATATGAGTTTGTAAATAGAAACAGTTTGCATGAGAATATTTTCCTTTGTGTGTGTATAAAGTAAGGAAAAAGTTGAAAACAGCTGCTCAAGAGTTGTAAAGTTTAAATGCAATAATAGTCAAGAAAACATTAAGTACAGTACATTGTAAGGCGCCCTTCCTTATGTAATTTGATAAATTCCCAGAAACACAGAAACAGTGGAAAACTTAAAAAATGAATTTTGTTATAACATTAATTACAGGTTTTTTCCTATAATACAGTAATAATGCTTTGCATTCTATTCATTATCACATCCTAACTTTCAAAAGTTTTAGTTGCTACAACACTCAATTTTGATCACTTAAGATGTCTACACTTTTAATCCTTGGTAGAGTCAGCTCTGTAAATCTGAAGTCCCTAAGTAAATCAGGAGACTTCTTGTTTGTTTAGTAGCTGAGACTGTTGTTAAAAACGCCTTCAATCAATGTCTAGAATTTGATTCCGATCTAAATAACATTTGAAAATACTTTGTTTATTTAGGATTCTAACTGTCCTGGAAATGATTTTTGTGAATTCTCATGACAATTAGGCACCATTCATATCCGCTGAGACAAGCTCAGCTCGCATCCTGTGCTTAAGTGAAAATTCTTGATTAAGATGTCTCTAAAGGTTTGCAGGGAGCTTGGCCTGCTTTACTTCTGTCTCCAAAGGAGGAGATAAAGGGGGAAATTCTGGGATGAGAGTATGAGGGGAGCAAAATAATAGCAGGCTTTATGCCTCTGAGAATCTGTCGTCGTGACTAGAGTTTTCCTCTTTTGACTTTCGTCACCAGTAGGAAATGAGAAAGGGAAATGAAAGCCTTTTCACTGATTAGTCAGAGGGGACTCTTGAGGAAAGCACGAAACAGTGGGGAAGATATGTGCCAAAGTGTCGGGGCCAACCCAGCCTGGGGTCTCTGCGGACCGGGGTCACAGTCGCCTCCAGTGAAGTGGTTAATCTCAGAAGACCAAGGTGTATAAGAGGTTGCATTCGTGAGAGCAAAGGACTAATGGAGATAATAGTTATTTATGTGCTAGATGCTTTCTTTTACAAGCTGCAATATATAGTCCTCTCAGACGGTTTTTTAAAATATTGTGTTTAATATTTTCAAAATAAAAATAATCTCAAAAAGAAAATAAAATAAATGACTATGTTCATGATTATTATTTGAATCAAATGACGGTGGTAGGGAGTGCTACTGCTTCAACTTGAAGCTCTATTCTTTTTCTTGTAAGCATTCAATCTTTCCATGCTGGTAGAACATTCCTAAGTGTCTAACAATAGTCCAAGATTAAGTGTAATAGTAGTTACTTTGATTGTGAGATAAGAGAGAAATCATTTTGGTCAAATGTCAGCTTTTGTTTTTACTTAAGTCAAAGAAAAACCAAGTTCTGAACCTGGGCATGATAAAGCTACAATCAAAATAAAGTTTCAATCCTAAAATCTGGTGTTCACTTAAGCACAGATAGGGCGAAGGCAAGAAGATGGGTGTATGTTATTATCAACTTAGTTACTTTGATAATTTTTTTAGATACGTCAATTCTTTAAAGTCTTTGCTTTTTCTGTTTTGCATGTTGCAGTGCGATGGGACAGATCTCACCCCAAAGATTCAGGAGCTGAAGTTCCAGTGTATAGTATTTTTAAATATACCCAGGTGAGCTCTCTTCCACTGTCTCCTTGGTTTGATGTGAGCTCTATTTGACCCAGGACTGTTTGCTTTCATTACAGAAAATTTCTAGGTACACACAATAAAAATCAGTTTTCTTAATGGGGTTTTAAAGGTGCCCAGCTCTGTTATTTTTTCCCTCTGATAATTTTGTTCCTTTTCTGTGATAATGGTAGGTGGCTTTTGTGTGTGTGTGTGTGTGTATGTGTGTGTGTGTGTGTTTGGTGTGAATTATGACATGCATGGTCTATGTTTACCCATTCTTAAGAAATCTTAGCATCTCCTTCCATTGGAACATTTTAAATCTAATTCTCAATTACTGATGTTCTTCCTTCACCTCAAGAATGATAGACTTGAGTAAATCCCTGTTCTCAGTTTCCCAAAAGCTGCTAGGAAACCATCGAGCCTGATTTCAGTATGGAATTCTTTCAGAATTGTTGCCAGATGATTGCTTTGAAAAAATAGGCTCAATTAGAGTAGCATTTTCTAGCCAGGATGTCAACTCTCTTTGGTGCTATTATAACCTCAGGAGAAAGGGATATTTAAGATCAGTCTCGAAATAAGCATATTATTTCAGTAGCATAAAATTAGATTCTAGTCTCCTAAGCCAAGATTTTGGAAGGGATGGATCTATGACCCTTAGTTATTTGCAAGCCAGACAACTCAGACACAAAATCTGCAAATTAAGTTCTATTTAGACTAAATTTAATGGAAATGAGACTTATATGTAAATCTGTGGCAAGGGAAACACAGTCTCCTGATTACACTTGGCAGCTCTCCATATGCCTTATAATCCATCTCCAGAAATATTTTCATCATAGTTGTTTAAGTAGAAGGCATAGATTCTCAGAAAACACTGCTTATTAACTTTAACTTTTTTCTTTTCTCTTATTCTTCTCTTTTTTCTTGCTCTTGTTCCCTTCCTCCCTTCTGGATTCCTTTTCCTCTGCTTCTGCAGTTTTCTTTTTTCCTTTCTAATCTCATGTCATGTCTGCACCTGTCCTTCCCCAAGATAAAATTCAGAAACCATGATAACTTATGGTGTGTCATAGACAGTCGACATCTGAATCCTGAAGTGACGACTCAAAAGGGATTAGGAGAAAATTGTGCACCATAGAATGTAAAGACGTTTTCATACATTGATATTTCAAAGATGATGATAAGTCCATTTTATTTTCTCTTGGAAGTTGTACTTTTCAAGTTGTACTAAGAACAGAGAGCTATTCTTACATGAAATAACCATTGGACCTAACTGGAAGTTAATTCCTATGATAATCATGAGAGGAATGGACTAAATCCCACTGTTTTTAATCTTCTCTTACAGATATTGTGCTGGCACAATGCCCTGGGGGAACCCAGGCGATCACCATGATTTTGAACCCCAACGTCATGATGACGGTTATATTGAAGTCATTGGCTTCACCATGGCCTCTTTGGTGAGAAGTTGCACTATTTTAATGAAATGGAAGGTGTTTTAGTCATAGAGTCTATTCATTTCACAAGATATGGGTGTCATTTTCTCTTCTGCTTTATCAATTTGCAAACTTTATATTGTTTCTGGAGACTACATTGACCGTGTGGATGAGCCCGTAGAGTTGCTTGGGGAAAGCAAGAACAAAAATAATTTTATGTCATTATGAAAATTGATGTACATTTGTTTGCATCGAAAAATAATGGTTACTTGTTAATATTCTTTTTTGACTTTCCACCACATTGAAATACAAAATTCTCATGCTAATTAAAAAGTATTATGTCTCAAACATATCCCAGTAATGATGCAGACTCCTTGACATTTGATGCCTTTATGGTTTACTGAAGAGTTTCATGTTTAGGGAAAAAGGCAGGTAGTCATCTGCATTCACTGTTAACTGCCTACTTAAGCATAAGGTGGCCATCATCATTCTTACAAAGTACCTGAATATTGAAGGATATCAGTATTGTAACTTTAATATTCAGTTGCCACAGTATTTTGATCACCTTGCATTTCAATTTTGTTTGCTTATATTACAAAAGTAAATTTATAGTGTAAGTGTAATTTCAAGCAGGTTTTAGCCATATATTTCAACTTACTGAATGATAAAGACACCAACTTAAAATCATGATCATCATTTTATATCGTATAAACCAGATCACACCATTAGTTCATTTAGCAAATTAAAACTAAACTTCTAGCAGCCATTGAATTATGTTATGCTTTATGCTTGAAAGCAAGGAGATTGTCCCCCCTTTTTTTTGAAGTAAGGCTATACACCTCTCTTCTTCACTCAAGTGGATTGCAAATAACTATTCTTCATTCACCTTGTATTGGTGATATTTAGCAGAATAATTTATTGTGATTATGGCAAGGATATCCATCACCTGAAGCCAGAGGACAAAGGAGCCACTAATACAGTCTAAATGGATCAGCATCACAGGGCAAAAGGGAGGGCAGGGATGGGTGGAGTGCCAGCTGGGAGAGATAGTGGTGGATTTGCATCACTTCTGTCTCTTAGAACCCACAGAGACCCTGGTACCTGTAGTTGACAATGAGTAAATATGACAGAATGAATGAACTGTACCAGGAGAAAAAGAATGGGGCTTGGTATCCTGGAAAAAGTGAACTTTATGTACAGTTGGATGGATGAGAGAATTTAGTCCTCTATGGGATCTATAATTAGTTTTATGTAGGGTAAAGTTAGCTGGAAAGTAAGAGTGGTAGATACTACTGGGCAGGCAGGGGCCAGATCATGGAGTGCAAAATAAAACTTTAGGAGTTTTGACTTTATTCTAAGATCACTGAGAAATTATAAAGTGAGTTTTTAAAATAAATAATTATAAATATTAAAATGATTCAATATATACTGAATAAAAGTTCTATATAAAAATAGACACAGTAATATATTGAACCCTCATGTACCTCACCCAGCTTCTAGAATTGTCTTACAACTCTTGGATAATCTTGTATCTGTTCCCACAGATGATCCACCCCCTTTTATTATTTTGAAGCAAATCCCAGACATTGTAACAATTTACCTGTCAATATTTCTGTTTTTTAGAAAATACAGCTTTATTTTATGAACTCAATCACAACATTACCTTATCTAAAAAAATGAAGCAATATCATCTGAATATTATCTTGTGTGCGCTCAAATTTCCATTTATTTTTCTCACATACATTTGTTTCCTATTTCCACATTTTAAAAATCAGTATTCAACTAAAATTCATTCACTGTGATTGGTTGATAGGGCTCCTAAGTCTATAAGTTTCTAGCCACCCATCTTTTTTCTTTTAATGTATTGAAGTAATCAGGAAGGTTGTCCTTAATGTTTCCCTGTGTGTGAATTATGCTGATAATGGCCTTGAAGTATAAATTAATATATCCTTCTCGTCTTTCTCTTTCCTCTAAGTGATCATTAGAGCTAGATGCATTAGATACAATCCCTCCCCCTCAAATGTGTAACTGAATCTCAGAATTTAATGACTTAAGTTGCTGTAAGATTAAAAAAAATTTTTTTTTCTGCCTCTAAAAAGCAGAGTAATTCAGTTTCGAACCTCCTATGCTCCTTAAATAGTATTTGGATATATTTTCTCTATTTCCATACACATCTTACCTTATTACTCACATAGCAGTGCACCATGTATTTTTTTTTCATTCGGGATGAAATAATTTTATTTTCAATCCTTCCATTTTATATTTTGTACATGATTTCTATTACATGGGTTATGTCTTCTAAGAAGGTAAATTATTTGAATGCAGATACCTGTGTAAGATAATATATAAACAGAAAAGTGTAGTTATTTGGGTATATGCATGTATATTTTTGTATATTTAAAATATTCAGTGGTTCTTTAAGAGCAATTTAAAATAGAATTACTGGAGTGGGAAAAAAAAGTTTCTTTTAGGCTCTTTATCTCCTAATTGCAAATTTCAAAGCAGAAGTCTTCAATTCATTTTACTGGTTGGAATGCATTCCTGCTAATTAAGATGATTCTTCCTTGGCTGCTTGGTAACCTGATTACCTCTTTGGATTCTGCAGAGACCATAATCAGACATTGTAATTTGTATTTATTTCTGCCACAATTTGCTGCCATTATAGTTGTAAAGGTCCTTTCATGTTGAATCTGTTTCTAAGTAACTTAAAACTTTTCAAGACAGTTCAAAGCTTTATTCAGATTGAGGAATTGGGTGCCTAATTTGCCATGCACTATGAAATCCAAAGATTTCAGTCTCCTAAACTTTAAAGCATATCCAGCTTTCTTTTTGTTAATTGAAATTAAAATATGTAGGCTCTTTTCTATTTATGAATTAGAAAAGCGAAAGGTCATACAGGGAGAAAAATTACATAAGGAAATTCCTTGGATGAAGTTTTTCACATCCTGGATAATGTAACCTTTTCTTTCTGTCTTTTTTTTTTTTTCCAGAAAAAAATAATATTGTTTGCTTACTTGATAATACAGACTAAAAGAAAAGAAACTAAAAGTAAAACTATCAATCATAATCACATGACTGATAAATACATTTTGATGTTTCCTTGTAATTGCTTTATTTCTGTTTTCAGCTATACATAAAACCATATTATAAGTAAAACCCTTAGTATAAATGGCTGCTTACTCTGTCATTGTATAAATAGGTCCCAACTGATATAATAATTTTTTCCTTCATAAAATGTTTACTCTTTGAAACTTTTAGGTTTCTGGATGTTCAGGCTATAAACAATCCTATAATTAACATAATTGCCCATAAAGCTCTGTTCACTATTCAAATTATTTTCTAAGACAACCCCTTGAAAAGAAATTACTGATTCAATGACATAAACCTTTTAAAGCCTTGTAATAAAAATTATAAAACTGCTTTCCAGAAATTTTGTACTGTTAACTTGCCCAACAGCAAAGTGTGAGATACTTAATGAGAAGTGACTAAGATTTAATACTCCAAAAGTGCTGAAAATGTGGTAATAGTGGAGAGAAAATGCTATCACTACAGAATCAAATATTACATTTGATGAAGCAGAATTAAATAAGATAAAATTTCATCCCTAGGAATAAATAAAGGAATTATTTGCGTTTTGTACAATCATTTATGTTTCGCTAAACAGCATAAATTAGAGTAAGGACAAGTTCTTTATCTTTATTGTTAACTTTATGTCTTTTGTTTTTTGAAGTGTCTGCTTTTTTGCATATTTTAATAGGCTGTTAATCTTTTATTGCATGAGTTATTTCTACATTACATTTATTTGGCATAAATATTTATTGCAAATATATTCTTAGTCTATCATCTTTCTTATTTTCTTAATTTTCTTTTGATAAGCAGAAGTTTAAGCATTTTCATGAATTTCAATCTTATGAGGTAGGCTTTCTTCATATTCAAGCATTTTTATGTCTTTCTTGCGAAATCTTTGTTTACTTCAAGAAAGGTTGGTAAGATATTTTCCTATATTTTCTTCTTGAAGATTTATAGTTTTAGCTTTTATATGTGAGTATGTGATTCAGCGCAAAGTAATTTTTATGTGTTGTATAAATTAGGTATTAAGGCATCATTAAAAAAATGTTAATCTGTTTTTCCCCCAGCACTATTTATTTGAATAGACTTTAATTGTGTATAGAATTGCTTAGGTTGCTTTTGGGTCTCTTTCTGAACTCGGTTCTGTTTCATTGCTTTGTTTATCCTTTGCCAGAACCATGCCATTCAGATTGCCTTAGCTTTATAGTAAGTCTTCAGTCTGGTCATAAGAATAATTTCACTTTGTTCTTTTAAGAGAGTTTTCCTTACTTACATCTTTCGTATATAAGAAATATTAATTTTAGGATCGGTTTGACTGTGTTTACAAAAGCTGCTGGGACTTTAATTAGGATTGCACTGAATTGGCAAATAAATTTAGGGACAACTGCCATATTAACGATATTGAATGTTCCAGTTTATAAACATGGTCTGTTTCTTCATTCATTTAGGTGTTCTTTTATTTCTCTCAGTAGTGTTTCATAGTTTTCAGATTCTTTCACATCTTTTGTAAATTCAATCCTAAGTATTTTATGTTTTTCATGCTATTTTAACTAGTGATTATTTTAAATTTCACATTTATTTAATATATAGATGTATATAGCACGTATAGATTTATTTCTTGATTTTGTTTTGCAAGTTTTCTAAATTCACTGGTTTTGTTCAAATTGGTTTTTATAAATTCTTTAGTTTTTCCTACTTTCAAAATATATTGTTTGTGAATAAAGATGGCTTTACAATTTCCTTACATGCCTTTTATTATTTTTGGCCTTATTTAGCTGGCAAAGGTGTTCAGTGAGATGGTGGATACAAGGACTCAGAAATGAACATGCTTGCCTGGCTCCTGATTATAGGGGGACATTCCATACTTCCTCATAAAATACTACTTTAGTTATTGTATTTTTAAAAATAAATGCCCTTTTAGTCATTAAAGAATTTCAAGTCTAGTCTTAGTTTTCTGAGAGTTTTGGATCACAATGAATAGTGCATTTTATGAAATGCCTTTTTAAATCTATGAAAGGGACATAATTCTCCCCTTTACTTTCTTATCATTGTGAATTCCACTGATGTTTTAACTGTTACACTAACCTTGCATTTCAAGGATAAGTCCTTCATGATTTATTATCCTTTTTTTATTTTGCCAGCTGCAATTTACTAATATTTTGTTAAGAATTTTTATGATTATGAAAGATATGGTATATAAATTTCTTTTCTTCCAATATCCTCATTGGGCTTTTAATGTCAAGGATATACTGACTCCAAAAATTAAGATAGACAATGATATTCTGAAAGAATATCTGTTTTCTAAAATAATTTGTATAAGATTTATACTTTTTTCATTAAATATTTCATAGAATTTCCTAATGAACCATCCGGCATTCAAATTTTGAGAGAAGAATAGATGTAAAATTATTCATCTTTTCTATTTTTTTCAGTAAGTTCTGTGAAGTTGAATTTTCAACGAATTTGTTCATTTCATCTAAATCGTCAAGTCTTTTGGCATAAAGTTGTCACAATGGCCTTCTACTAGCCTTTTAATGTCTGGAGGATCTTCTTTCTTCCTGATAATTTGTCACAAATTTTTTTCTCTTATATCCCACTTTTCTCCTCCACTTTGGACTCTAATTTCCATATAAATTTCCTTTTCATACATATAAACCCCACTGGAAAATATTAACATTTTGTTTTAAACAGTTGTTTTATTTTAAAGAAATTAATAAAATAAAAAATGGCTAGTCCTTTATATGTACCTGGATAGTCACCATTTCTAGAATTCTTCATTCCTTCCTATTGATTCAAGTTTCCTTCTGGAATCATTTTGCTTGAGTTTATCTGGTTATGTCAGAAGCTACAGCATCATATTTCCTGAAACAATCTGTATTAAATAGACACTGTCTTTCTTTAAAAGTTAGGGAGCTTTCCTTGTCAAACATTTGTTCTGTTTGGCACATTTAGGGGTTGGGGCTGGGTTGAGAAATGTTTTCAATCTTAATTTTTTAAAAATGCAGTTTAATCTAGCCAGTGTCTATGTTTATTGCATCCAAGTTTGCAAGTTAATTGTTTCTCCAGAAATTTATCTTTCTTGTCTAGATTTCCATTTTTTTAACATAAAAATCTTCATAGCATTCTTGTATGATTTTCAAAATGCTCTTTTGTATGTTTGGCTATCTTCTTATATATATATTTTTATTTTTATTTTTTTATTTTTTTAAAGATTTATTAATTTGTTTGTTTGTTTGTTTATACATACAAGCACTGGGTACAGTCAGAAGCGCGGGAGGGTGAGAGAATTCACCAGAGCCAGAGCGGGGAGCAGAGCAGGCAGAAGGACCGAAGTACACTGCTGAGGGGAGCAGCGGGCGGCAAGAGAGGTCTGCACGCCATGTGGGACCCTCCTCCGGTGGCCGGGGAGCAGCCGGGGATCGAACTGGCGCTGCAGAGGCTGCGGGCAGCTTCGCAACCCAGCGCTCAACCACTGCGCCACTGCGGAGGCCCTATATATATTTTTATTTATCCACAAATATACTTGAATTTTCCACAAATCCTACCTGAGGAACTGAACAAGTTAGACTCCGAGGGGTCCTATTTTGGGTATAAATACCAGCTTGGGGAGTATGTATAAGTTTTTTAAATTAAATTTATTGATTTTCTTACATCATTGTTAACTTGTGGACAGTATTTGATTTCTGCCCTCAGGTGTAGTCCCCATAGTTCTCCCACCACCATAGCACCTGTCTATCTTCTTTTATATATTTTATTTTTAAATAAAACAAAATACTTTTGTGTTTCTCAGTTTTGTTTAGTCCTGCCTGGGTAATATAACAACAAAACAGCAGAGTTGGGTTTCACTGATTATCTGCCTTGGCCATGGTAAGGACTGAGGCTGCAGTGGGGGAGGGCTGGGAGGTGGGGGCCTCATTGGGGTGGGGGTGGGCAGCATGGTAAGAAAGGGAGGGAGGGGACTTGCTCAGCTTCATTTCTTCTTACCTGACCAGGATTGTCTGTGTTTTCCATTTGAGAGTGTGGAGAATAAGGACTTGAGTAGCAGGGAGGAGAATACTTGAAGGGACATGGAAGAATGTTCCAGGGAGGACTTGTAGACCACAAAGATGGGAAATCGAGGACAGTTGTGGCCCCAGGTGATGACTGGTCGTGGCTGCACTGGATGTAGGGGCTGTTGATTTCATTTTCCTTCCCAGTCATGTGCTGCCAAAAAGACAGTATTTGAAATCGTCACAGTGTATGCTAGATTGAACAGCTCATTGAATGCCATTAGTAACCCAGTGTTTCAATGTTAGTAAGTGATTCATCCTAGCTAGCCAGGGGATGTCTGTCACTATTTAGTAGGATGCTGAAACCTAGACTCCTTGGAATGATGAGAAGTCACTATTTCTAATAAGTATTTTTAAAGTTACCTTTACTCTAACTTGTTCTGAAGATAATTTAGTGTGGCTCTGCTAACGAGAACAGAAATGTCTTGATCGTGAAGTGCTAATTAGTTCCTCTTGTGCCTGTTTGCCATCCTTTGGAATCGACTCTGAAATGTCAGTGGCTGCCAGTGACGTCTTTCCTCCTCTTCACGCCTGGTATTTGCTATTATTCTATTTCTGAGACTGGGAAGTTGGTCTAACAGTGCGTTACAGTGCTGTGTTGCCTTCCCGTACCAAGAGGCAGAGTTGGCATTGAAATGATTTTTCAGTTCTCTTAAACTCAGAGAAATAAATTCTTACCTGACAGGCTCTGTACTTTTTGTTTGTCTTTAGGTCCAGTCAGAATTTGGACAAAAAGAAGGAAAAAATGGTATTTCATCTAGTGGTTAAAGGGATATGGTTTTGTTAGATAAGTTTTGAGCTGAGAAGTACTTGAGGCAAAGGAAATGATAATGGAAAAGTTCTAGAGATAAGATAGCAGCTCAAATCCATAGATTCACTTAACTGAATCTTTTAAGTCCAGCCAGAAAAACTCCCAGCTGAATAACAGGATTAAATAGTATTCGATAGTATTTTTACAAAAAATAGTTTGTAGATTCGCACATGTCCTTTCTCTCATTCTCCCACTAATTGAATAAAATTGTACTTAAAGCATATAATATAATGCATTTAACATCAAAATCACCAAACAATAAGTTCTTTTCAATTCTTATTTTGTTTCCCTTCTTTTTGCCCCTTTGTGTCCCTTTATTTGCATCTATAATCAAGTTTCTATTCAAATTAATGCAAGTACTAAGATAATTCAAACGATCAGATAAATGCAAATATTTTGCAACCAAATCACAGCTAAAAAAGTCATTTTTCCATTCATAGAGATGAGACATATGGAGACAAACTGATAGTTTCTTCTTTTAGATTCTGAGCTTTAGTTAATACTTGACTCCTTTAAATTTATTTCATTGTAAATTGATAGTCAAAATGCATTTTGTAATCTTTTGCAATGCATTCTGTAATCTTTTGAAATACTGTTTAATAGTGTTTACTATAATTAAGTATACACTTAACTTCTGTCATAATAGTTCTACTCATTGTATGTACCCAAGAGGGTTTGTATCCAACAAGAGCTATATATAAGAATGCTTAAATTAGTACTAGCCTTCGAATTGGAGACCACCAGATGTTCCCCAATAGAAGAGGGGACATTCATTTTTCGATAAAATACTCAAAAGTATGAGCAGAAGTTTTCAGGCACAAGACTACACACTGTGTGATTTATTTTTTATGAAGTTCCAGTTCAAGCACATGGGCAATAAAAGTCAAAGTGGTGGTTACTGGGGAAACCTGATTATGGTCAATCTAGTTTGACCTGGACAGATATTTACAAATGTGTATAAAAATATTGATCAGGTAGTATTATGTGATTTGTATACTCTATGTATGCTGTACATCCAGTATGCATTATGTGGCTTTCATTCATTCCTAAAAGGGTAAATGATACTAAATCCTTTTTTTTTTAACGAAGGCAGGAAGTTGGGGTAACTTGTTGCTCTTGCTTCCTCAACAACGGTCTCTTAATGTTGGATTGACTTTCTATTCTATGACCCCATAGAGAACTGAGTTCTCATTGATCAACTTTTCAGATGGTTTTTAATTTAGTAATTAATATTGTTTTATATTTAATTGATTTTATGCAAATGAGAAGTAGCTTAAGGAGCTTTTAGGCAAAAAAGGAAAAGTCTGCTTAGTTTGAAAATTAACCAAGGGTGGGTTATATATTTAAATTAACCAAGGGTGGGTTATTTTTTTTATATATATATATATTATATATATTTAAACCAAGGGTGGGTTATGGTTTATTATATTTAATGTATTTAAATATATAATGAAGTTATATTTATTTTAATGTGTATTTAAATTTAAGTATAATATAGATCCTATCTTAAAGTATGTGCTTTATCTCTTTTAAATTCTCTTGGTCCACTTACATATTGGTTCTTTAGTGAGACACAATAGCACAAGAATAACTTTTGCATTAAACCAGCATGATTAAATGAAGACTAAAGAAATAACATAAAAGCAATAAGACTTTGTAGTCAACCCTTGAAAGTTTTGCATTTTGAGTTTATTTGTGTGAAAGGCTTACCCAGGTTTCCTATTTCACTGGCTAACCGCTGCCGATACATTTATCAAAGGCCTTTTGGTTCTTTGCGGTGGACTTGGTGTCTGGCTGTCCGGGATGCTCCGAAGACCCAGCTCCTGGCCTCCCTTTGACTCTTGCTCTTACAGGCTGCCCTGCAAGTTGGGGGCCACGGGGAGAGGCTGCACCAGTGCCGGGAGGTCTTGCTGCTGACTTACAAGTCCATCCCCATGCAAGTGGACGGGGAGCCGTGCCGCCTGGCCCCGGCGATGATTCGGATCTCTTTGCGGAACCAGGCCAACATGGTGCAGAAGAGCAAGCGGAGGACGTCCATGCCTCTGCTCAATGAGTGAGTGTGCCCCTCGCTGCCCGGTTGCCATGGGGCCACGGAGGGGAGCATGTGCATGGGCCAGCCCCACTGCGCCGAGGGCGGGAAGGCCAGGACACAGCACTTCCTTGCTCTCCTCCTGTCTTCCTCCTGTTTACTGAGCAGCGGCCCTGCTTCACTTGACTGCACAGTGCACTAGATGGAGGATTCCTCTCTGACCACTCGAGTCTGTATGTACTAGGATTAGGGGAAAATCATTCAGGGTGACTAGATCATGAGATGCATCAAGATGGAGGTGTCCTGTAGGTTCTGCTTTAAGAAGGCGTGCTGTCGGCCATCTCCTCGCCAGGCCACTGGCAGGAGGGTAGCAGAGGTGGATTTCAGGTCCTCTCTGTACACACTGTGGCCCCTCTGCCTGCGGCCCCTCTCTGCTGCTCCCACTGTGGGCTTGTGTGTTCTCTGGTGTTTTAGCTCAAGTTGCCCTTCTCGGTGGCATCCGAGTGTCTAGATTTAACCCGACCCATGACTTTGCACCTGAACAAAACTTGTCCTTCCCGAACCCTTTCCTTTCTGAGGAGGCTTTTGATTAACTGACTTGAGATCTGGTGATAATGACAAACTATAGTTTGTCAAAGTTTAGAATGCATGTGCATTTCATAGCGCCCCTTAGTAAGTTAATGACTGAGAGGTCTACTTGGGATGGGACAGAGGGATGGAGAAAGTGGGGGTTCAGGAATCTTTTTTGAGGACCTGCCATCTATTATGCGTATGTGCCTGACCTGACTAAAGGCCCTTTCAGGCCCTTTCCGGGCTCAGCCACACGTTACTCTTCTGTCCTGGTGAGAGAGCTGTGGGACATGGTTCCTGTCTGTCCTGAGTGGCTGGCATCCTGTCACGCCTGTGAACCAAGGGGATGCTCTGCCACGTATTTACTGCATCAGTATGACCACCGGCAGAAGAGTCTGGAAGGCACAGGGGTACGCGTGCCTTCGCTCACTGCCAGGATGGGACCTCAGCGCTGTGGGCGGCGGACGTAGGGGGCAGCATGAGACGGTGCTCAAGGCCATTTAGGTTTTGACATCTGCTGCTAAGTCTGAAACTGAGGTGAACCATGGCCCCTCCTCCGCTTCCTTCTTTCCCGAGTCACCCTGACTCTCCAGCATTTTCTCCACATCTTTATCAGGAGGGTTTGTTTAGCTGCATCTGTTGTTTTGGTTACATTCTGTAGCGTGTGGAGCTCTCAGCTCATTGTGGACACTTTCTTTCTCCAATCCCTAAGTTTCTGTGGTGAAAAGGTAGTGTATGTGGTTGACCATAGTCTCTTCAAAATAGAAAGGTTAGATTTAAGTTCTGAACACTTGGTTTGGAGAAAGTTCTGAACTACTAAGAGAGACAGCCTGGTGACCCACCATGTCTGGGGTCACCTATAGTTTGTGGAGAAGCTAAAATAGAACCAAGGAGTCCTTAATATCTAAAGAACCTCCATTTTCATACCTGATGTTTCTATATTTAATAAACTTATCAGACATAATATTGTTTTCAGGGGATTAGTTCCAAACCGCTTTTGCCCTTGAGAAAGAATTTGCTCAGTGACTGTACTTTTCAGAATATGTTTGGGCTTCTCCACGCAAAAGACAAATGTAAATGGTTTATTTTCATACTCCTGGCACAGGTGATGACCTGTGAGGATGTTCAGGAAGCAGCCTCAACTCAGAAATACACTTACTTTCCACCAGGGGGCTGTGGTGTCTCCATCTAAGTAGCGGTAGCCTGTGCTGCAGGTGAAGGATAAATCACAGTATTAACAAGGTTTTTGTTAAGACAAGATATAAAACATAAAAAAAGAAGTCTATTACTAGCTTATGAAAGTTATCAATCAGCACTTTATTTTCAGAATGTCACTACAGGTAGCAAAACACCTAGTTACAGTAAAATATTTACTAACTAGACCTTCCTTTCTAGACCTTCCTCCGCTGATCCTACATAACCTTTGCCACTAAATTGCCTCTTGAGTTTCACTAGGATCCGTATTTTGAGAGAGAACTTCATCCACTGATTTCCCAGTGGAGTTTTCAGTTTAAGGGCAGCCTGACCCTGTGCACCTTTCTACAAAGAAGTTTTCAAATCTACAGTCTTAAGATTTTCCCTGTTCTGTGAGTGGATGAAATGTTCACTCTCACAGCTAAGACAGAAAAAGATAACTCACGTGATTCTCTCTTTCCTTCCTTCTTCTCACCTTCCTGCCTTCCTTCCCTCCTTTTCTTCCTTTTTTCCTCCCTTTTCCTTTCTTAATTTTCGCTATTTCTTCTGTTTCTTTGTCTGCCTTTTTTCAGAAGAAAGAGAACGGGTTTGAAGTGCCTTGTGTTGGGAGTGGGGATAACTTCTCAGTCTGGAGAGCTTTTCAATTCACCTTAAGGAGCCATTCTTTCATAGCATGTTAATTAAATATTTGTGAGGGGGCCTCCCGGGTGGCACAGCGGGTTGAACACAGCTCTGCGAAGCTGTCCTCAGCCTCTGCATTGCGGGTTCGATTCCCGGTCAGAGGGAGATCCCCACATGGTGCAGCAGACCTCTCCTGTCTCACCTGCTGCTCCCCTCAGCAATGTTTTTGGTCCATCTGCCTGTTCTGCTCCCCACTCTGTCTCTGGTGAATCCTCTCACTCTCCCGCACCTCTGGCCTGTACCCCAGCTATTGTATAAATAAAAAATAAATCTTAAAAAAAGTCTTTATTAAGAAAAATAATAATTAAATAAATAATTGTGATCTAAGTGGTGTGGTATCCTAAACAACTGGGTCCTTTTTCCACTGGGATGCTGGGTGCTTCTTATGGGTGTGCCCTTCTTCTGGGGGACCTTATCTGCACCCCAGGTTTCATTCATGATGGATTAGCTAACAAGTCTCAGATCGATGTCTTCAGCCCAGAGCTTCTGTGAAGAACTGAAGACTCACACCCAAATATCTTTGTTGATGTCCTTCCCTGGATGCCTCATGGTCATCTGAGACCATGCGCCACACACTGGACTCACCAGCTCCATTCCCTGTGCCTTCCCTCCTCACCACCAGTGACCCGCTTCCATTCCCACTGTGTGAGCGGAACCCCCCTTCTCAGTCACTGTGCTCCTGACCCCTGGAGTCACCTGTTACACAGTCAGCAGGCTGGCTTTCTCACGCTCCAACATCTGCCTTCCATTTACTACCCAAGTCGTTAACTCTCACACCATCTAGTTCTTCTGTTAGTAACGCAGCTGTAGTCGAGGGCTGCGTTAGTTCTTCTCAGCAGCGTTGCTGAAATGTGCCCACGCTTCCTTTTCTTGCTTCCAGCGCTGACCACTTCACACAATGCTGTTTCGACTAGACTGGTCTGACAGTTCTTTATAAAAATGTGAAGTCTGTGTTCCCTCTCTTGACAGGGCTTTTGGGTTAGTGCTTTCTTTACCCTCATCTTCCTGTGCTCCAGAGGCAAGTGCTGTTCCTGAAGCAGCAGCCTGTCTCCTGCATCATTTTTTTGCATTTCTCTTGCGGTGCCCACTTTACCTCCTTCTCATCTGCTGACTCTTGCTCAAGTTCAAGATCCCGCTCAAGTACCACTTTCCCCGAGAATCCCTTTCTAGCTACTTCTAGCCTTTCAATACACCTATCTGTGGTTCTATAGCACTTTTATTTACTTTCATCATACAATTTATCAAAAGGAATATAACCCTTGCTTATTTTTGCATCTCTTCTCTTGGTGAGGTCCTAGAGTTTCCTCTTGAGTCCTCCACGCTTGTTCTGTGTCTGAGACTCACTGTTGACGTGTTGAATAAATGGTTTCCCCATGGATCAGAGTATGGAGCATGTCCGTTAAGTTCCTCAGAAATTTTTTCTCCAACAATATAAATATAAATCTCGTTAATATAAAAATTAAATAGATGTCTAAATTTTTATGGTACTAAGTGGAAGATACATGCTTAAAAATGTCCAGATCTGGGTCACTGGCTAGCTGGATGAATTCTCATGAGAAACAATTGAAGAGCAGGCCTTTGTAAAGTCACTAGGTCTCCATGTGTGCAAAAGTACATTTTCTAAAAAAAATTTCTTGGCTTATTATTCCATTTGCTGTCACTGTATCTAAACTGAAAGGTGATGTTCCATTGTGATCAACACACTCAACCCACATTCATACAGAAGTGGCTTATTTTTTCATGATGATTTATGAATCTGCTCAAAATATGAACTCCAGTAAATATCTTCTCCCCAGAATAGAGGAGATTGATCTAGGTTCGTGTTTATGTCCTAATTACAAGCAGCCAGGTAAATTTGATCATGCTCTCTGTTTGTAAGGCAACTTTGTGTGAGAGCAGAAATTTATAATTAGGTGTTTAGGGAGACCTTAAGTTGGCTATGATCCTGAGTTTTTAGTAATTAAGACAATGAGTCATCCAAGGGCAGGATTTGTGGTGGGCAAATTTTGATTCAGGCAGCTGAATGCCAACATCCTGGGCTCTGAGATGTATCATTGATTCTGAAAGTCCTTTGAGACCTGAGCTGGAATCAACTCACGGTTGACATTGTGTGTGAACTTACCTGCCCAGCAGTAATAGGGATGGGTGGGGAGCTCTCTCTGTGGCCACCAAGCAGAAACTGTCCCCATGATTTGGAGAGAATAATTATGTAGTAAATGTGACAGGACATTATGGATTTAGTTTCTTAAATTGTACAGTTTGTTTTTTTCTTATAGTCACTGAAAACTCTCCTTTATAGAAAAGAGAGCAAGGGAGCGAGAAGAGGGAGAAGTGTATGATTTTACCTTTCTACCAAAGTTAAGAGTGGAATTACAGCATCACAGGGATAACTTGGGCTTTCTCGGTATTACCTGTAGAATTCGTAAAAATCCTTAGCTGTTTAATGGAAGGAAGTTAAAGTCTTTGTTGAGTTGCTGTCTTCAAGATGGTTTTATCTTTTGACATGACCATTCCCGCAATGCCTTGGAACTGTGAGGACTGTGTTAAAGGACTGAACTTATCTTGACTCTCCTCAGAGATGAGTTTATGGTGCCTGCCTGCCCTCTGGTGTGTGTTAGCATGTGAGTAGGTTAGTGTGAGTGTGGGAGTAGGTGAGTGTGAGAGGGTGTGTGTGTGTGAATGTGAGTGTGTGTGTGTGCACCTCATTCCCCTCCTTGGATGGCCTGAATGATCTAGAATGAGAAGAGCATGACCCCCGCTCTCCCTCAGCACAGCCCCGCACCTGCCCGCGCTCCCCTCTGTGGCTTGCCCGGAGCCAGCCCTGCCTCCTGTCCTGCTGGCTTCATCTCCACCACCGGCTTCTTGGATAACGTCCGTGGCTGGCTCGATTGTCCCTTTCTTCTCACTCACTGTTTGGTGACGCGCTCATTTAATTTCTGTTTCAATTTTGTGTGTCTCTCTCTCTCTCCTGGCTTGTCCCTGTCTGTCCACGCTGTGTGCTGACTGTCTGCGCTGCTCATTCCCTGCTGCCTGTAGCGTCCATCAGGTGCAAGCCACTGACCTGCGGAGAGTGTCTGCCCCCCCGGGCTCCTTCACCATGTGAGTACAGCCTTCCTTTCTATGTCCGCCGCCCCGTGTCCTCATCTCTCCAGGTGTGCTGATCGGCCCCAGAGCCGCCTCTGCCACTTGCCTTCTTTAGTCTTCTCTGATGAGATGGAGTTCAGAAGTCTGTGTGTTCTATTTATCTCAATCCTCTAAGAATCCATAGTTTTGGGTTTTGAATAGATACTTAGGGGTCTGTAGCTATAGAAGATGATCTAAAATTCCGTACTCAGCATCGGTTTTTGGAAGGTTTGTGATACTATAAGACCGATTCCTTCATCTCTGGCACAGGCACCGCGTTGAGGAAGTGCCAGCCCCCTTCATCTGTGGATGGATGGATTCCTAACACGTGTGGAGGGTTGAGTATACATGTTTGCATTTTTCTGAGTGGGGCATCATGGTTAAATAAAATATTGATGATCCAGTCTTCATTGAGCTAGCAAAACATATTTTGCCCGTAGTGATTTGTATTTAATTTGCACTATGTCTTTTTTTTCTGGTGAAAGCAAATGAAATGAAAATGATCTTTAGTACTTCACTTACTTGCATCTTCTGTTTTCTCAGCTAGCCTCTGTCATGGTTTAGGTACTGTTATAGGTACTTTGTACACATTGCATAAATTTACTCCCCCCAAGCCCCTATGTCATGTGTGGTATTATTACCACTAGGATATACTCGAGGAATCTGATGCACAGAGAGGTTAAGTAACTGGTCCAAGGTCACACAGCTAGTGAGTGGTAGACTGGAATTCCCACTCAGAGTTCATGCTCTTAATTTATAATCTGCCACTCTTTATTATCTATCAGGATCCTAATGTGATTCTCAATGCTCAATTGAATGATCACTGTTTCAAAAACAATCTTTTTGGTATTTGCTCACAGAATTAGTGTCATCCTCATTGGAGGTCACAATTACATTTCTCAAGCTTTACCGGGGTGGCATTCATTACTTCAATTCTATGTCGGTGTGTATCGCACACTTGACTCAGGCTACTAGAAAGATTTGACTATGTCTTCTTACGCATCTTTGTTCCCAGCCCTGATCACAGATGTTAACTCAAAATATTCTGAAATCAAATGCAACTGTTGGTTGGAAGAATGAATGAATGAAAGACTACCTATCTAGACAGAACTGTACTATATCAACAGCAAAGGATATGCCAAAGTAATTCCTCAGGTCCAGTTATATAGTTAACTCTAGATTTAAAGATACACATTTTATTTTTTTCATTTATTGCAAAATGTTTTTAAAGCATTATTTTGTACTTGATGAGTAGCAGACAAGGCTTTCTATTTGGTATAGAGTGGTGAACACAACAGAGCTACCTCCCTAGAACTTTACACTGAGTGTTCAAGGAATCAGTAAGAAATAGCCTAGTTACCATGTGGAGGCCTTTGCTAGGTGTGTTTAATATTCTGTGTAAACCCTGTTCAAAAGATTGGAGTGCAGGGGATGACTCACAGTGATTGTGATTTTTAGTGCTCTTTTTTTTACATAGGTTTTTTATTAGCTTTAATTTTATACATTAATTAGAACTTTTTATTTACTTTATTATTTATATTTTTACATCATTTTTCATTTTTGCACAATGTATGCATTTTCATCTTGGTTATAGTCCCCATACAATTCCCACCCCCCTTGCTTTGATCCTATAAAATCCTATAGATTTTATATCTAAATATAACTGATGACTGTTTACATAGTAAAAATATGTGAGGTTAATATTTTAAAAATTAGCAAGCAAAACACTGTCAATGTCATTTTTTTTACATTTAAAAAATGAAGAGCAAGGACCTGGAGAAAAATCCAAGCAAAACAACACAGGAGGCATATTTCTAAGTCACAAGGATATCTGAGCTTCCACCCACTCTCACCCTGACACCCGCTGTTTTCAGCAATGTTCCAGAACTCCATTAATGCCATTTTGGTTCTTATGCACATCCGGACTCCATTATCCTGAGCTAAACTTCATCTGTGTTTTTGACTCTCAGATCAGCCATTCTCTGCCCTGAATGATTTTTTTTTTTATACAGATCATCTTTTCTTTGGGAGATGACTATTATTCTGCTGTTACTGAAGTAAATGTTGCTTTCCTAAAGCAACTTGAATCATCTTGCATTCTCTCTGGCTTTCTGATGACTTTTTCTGGTTGAGGGAGTGGGTCATAGTGGTGACAGTGGAATGTGTGGGTGATTAGACATTGCAACATACTTCTTTTGTCTGTAAACCTGGGGAGTTTCAGCTTTACACAAAGAAGAATCTTGAAATTTTTTTTGATCGTGTGTCCATATATAAATGGTGCATTTCAATCAAAGCTATTTAGTGGCTTCAGCCAATAGAACAAACATAGCAAAACCAAGTAGAATATTTCAACACAAATCTTGTACCATGTAGGTTGTGGGTTTTTTTGACATCAGAAAAATATTTAATTCCTAGATTTGATACACAATGCAATTTATAATCTAGCCATTTCTACTTTCTTTTTGAAAACTGAGATATAATCACCATATAATCTTATCTTAGAGGTTAGAGGTGTACAACATAATGATTCGATATTTGTATATAATGTGAAATGATCTCCACAATTAATCTAGATAACGCCCAGCACCACACCTACAGTGTTCTTCCTTATAATGAGAACTTTTAAGATCTACTCTTACAGCAATTTTCACAGATACAATACAGGATTAGTAACTATAATTGTAATGCTTGATAATACACCCCCTTATTTACTTTATAACAGGTTGTTTGTACATTTTGACCTAGCATAGGCCTATGATATGTTTTGAGTTAATTTTTGTATTATATGTGAGGTTTAGGTTGAGATTCATTTTTTTTTTTTTTTTTGGCATGTAGATATTCAGTGGTTCCAGCACCATTTGCTGAAAAGACTGTCTTTTCCTATTGAATTGGGTTTCCATCTTCAAAAAAATCAGTTGTCTTCCTCAGTCTACAGCTATCATTCACTCTTCAGAGTACTCATTTAGGTGCTTTTTGAATTCTGCTAAGGTTCTGTACTACATTCATTGGAGAAGAAAGAATGGCATGTTTACCCAGAATCAGAAATCCTCCTCTGCCTTTGAAAGCAGGGGCTACCATGTTGTATGCCCTTCATGCACACTGCAGTCATGCAGGAGAACCCTAGTTAAACTCAGCAGAACTGCTATGCAGAGATCAGTGTATTTCAAGTACAGCCAACATATGTTAAATACAATTTGCTGTCTTGAGCAGCACTTAACAAATAAACGTAAACAAGATACCTCTCAATGCCAAATTGTATGGATTAGGCTCTTACCTTGGGGAAGGCAGAGTTAGACACAGATCCAGGAAAAAAGGCCTGAATTGTCATATTTGACCACAAGCTGAATCTGATTAAGCTTTCTAAAACTGCTTTCAATAAGTGAAGGCTTCTTGATAAAGTAAGAAAGTAAATTAATTTTTGTTCTGAGAAGAAAGGAAGTTTTACTAAGAGAAAGAGAAATGTTTTCAATCTGTGTTTGGTTTGTTTGTTTTTTAAAAACACGGTTCTGTCCTGGATTGAGTTTAAGAATTTTATTGTTGGGAAACTACCAGGACAGAGCTGAGAATCTTCCATCTTTATGACTGAAGGGAACATACATAATCGGTCACAGAAAGTTTAAAATTCACGTGGCTCTGACCAGGGAAGCAAACTGGTCCTTGGAAGGGCTTTTTAAAATCCTGGGATTCAGTTTTCTGACTAGTCACATCTAACCTTTTGTTTTAATATTTTCTTGAACTTGTGTAATGGGCTATAAAAGGTTCTGTTTATTTTGTTTGTTTAATGCTAGTCTTTAATTTTTTATAGTAAAATTTATTTATTTATTTATATTTTACATCATTGTTCATTTTTGTACAATGTTTGCTTTCTCCTCTCAGGTGTCATTCCGCACCATCATCATAATCTCTTGTGCTCTTCTCTCCCCTGTCCTGATCCCTCTCCTTCCCCCTCCTCTGCAGAATGTCTCTGATTTATAGTTGCCTGTTAATTTTGTTTTTTTTTTTTTAATTGTTATTGTTTTTTTTTCTCCTGATCCCTTATTTGGTTTCCCTATATTCTTCCTATAAGTGAAACCATGCAATACTTTTCTGTTTCCTTCTGGCTTATTTCACTGAGCATAATCCCTTCCAGCTCCATCCATGTTGCTGCGAATGGCATGAGTTTATCTTTTTTTGTTGCTGAGTAATATTCCATTGTGTATATGTACCACATCTTCTTGATCCAGTCATCTATTTTTGGGCATTTGGCTTGTTTCCATAGCTTATCTGTTATAAGTAGTGCTGCAGTAAACATAGGGTTGCAGGTACCCTTTTGAATTAATGTTTTTGTATCCTTTGGGTAGATCCCTAGGAGTGGAATTGCTAGGTCATATTGTAGCTCCATTTTTAGTAGACTGAGGAATCTCCACATGGCTTTCCATAGTGGTTGGACCAGTTTGCACTCCCACCAGCAGTGTAGGAGAGTTCCTTTTTTCTCTACATCTTTACCAACATTTGTTGTTGCTATTTTTTTTTTTTAATATATGCCAATCTCACTGGCGTAATGTGATATTTCTTTGTGTTTTTGATTTGTATTTCCCTGATTATAAGGGATGTTGAACATTTATTGAAAAACCTGTTGAATACTGGCCTTTTAACTAGCAAATAAGACTTGATTTATTTTGCTCAGAAACCTTTCTCTTTTCCTTTCTTTTTTTCCCTCTAAATTCCACTCTGCCAGATTATATCAGGGAGAAGTTAATGCCTGAACCATGTAGACATTTACCTGCTTGTCTCTGTAAACTCTGAAGTAACCAAGATGTCAGGCAGGGTTTGCCTTAGGATGAGCAAAGCTGCTGAAGGCTAACACACAAGCCTTCCAGGGAAGCTTAGCATGAGCACACTTCAGGGCCAGTTAAATCTCCAGAAGATGCTTCTTGTCTGGAGTAACATCCATCCAGATTTCAGTTTTCTGTCTTATAACTCTGGGTCATTTTTTT